TTTGAGAAAAACATTTTGAATCGCTGACATTAATGAAATGATGATATTGAAGATTTCCCCAGTGACATTATTGTAACGTTATGTTCTCATCGTTTTTGCAGCATCTGAACTCCGAATCCTACTGTTTGGGAAAAAACAGAAGGAAAAGACAACAATAAGTGACTTCATCGCTGGGAAACATGACATTTCTCATCCAGCGTCAAAACAAAGTCAACAAATCCATGGCCAGTGGCAGAGGAAACCATTCATACTAGTGAAAACAGGAGACATCTTCAGTATGAATGAGGATCAAGTCAAATTTAACCTTAAGAAGTGCGTGGCTGAGTGCCACCCTGGACCAAATGTCCTGCTGATTATAGTGGACCCTTCTGATTTTACAGAGCAAAACAGACAAAAACTAGAGCTCATAATGGGCTTCTTGGGAGAAGACGCTTTGAGATATTCAATGGTCATCTTAACCGAAACATATAGTGGAGGGAACTCTGCTGTCAACCAACTTATTCAAGACTGTGAACAACATCACAGTATTAACTTTGATGAGAAAGAGTTACGTGACGATGATCGTCAACAATTGGTGGATAAAATTAAGAACAAAGCAAGTGAATACAGGGGAGAGTATTTAACCTTTACCGAAGACAAAGATTTCCAGGTAGCTCCAAAATGTACCAAACCCCCTCTAAACCTGCTGTTGTGTGGGAGACATAGAGACTTAAAGATGTCAACAGCTACCGCCATCCTGGGAGAACGAAAGTTTGGTCCAACCCCTGGCTCACAGTGTGTTAAAAATGAGGCAGAGGTGTTGGGGCGTTCTGTTTCTCTGGTCGAGTTGCCTGCCTTGTATGGGAAAACCCCGGCAGAAGCAAAGAGAGAATCAAACCAAGGACTCTCACACTGTGTCCCTGAGGGTGTCCATGCTTTTGTCATGGTTCTACCTTTAGATCATCCAAGTGAGGAAGACAAATTAGAGTTGGAGACCATCCAAAGCACATTCAGGTCAAAAGTCAAAGATTTCACGATGATCCTTTTTGCTGTGGAGGGGAATCCTAACTTCTCATCAGTTGGACGGTTTCTAAAACAAAACAGGGACATCCAACAGCTCCTTCAGATGTGTGGTGAAAGATATGTCGTCTTCAACATCAAAGACAAGCAGCAAGTCTCTGAGGTGCTACATGTTGTGGAGAACATGGGAGATGTAGGATACAGAGGGTCCCAAAAAGATATGCTTATGAAGCCTCTGGAGAATAAGCTTACAAGGACTATGTCTGTTATAGTTAAAGGTTCTGAACAGAACAAAGAGTTTCGCAGGATGATGCCGGGTCGTGAGTCTCTCAGGTGTGAGCGTACTAAAGGACCCCCCAGGATTCCAAAGGGTGGACAGTCACTTGAGAATGCAATGAAAAGATTGTCCCACAAAAATACTGAGAGTGAAGAGTCCTTTGGGCATATGAAGAGTGGACAGTCTGTGAAGAGTAGAAAGTCAGAAGAGTTTGGAAGCGTTGAGAGAAGAGAGTCCTTTGGGACGGTAACGAGTGGAAAGTCTGTGAAGAGCAGAAAGTCAGATGGGTTTGTGAAGAGCGCAGAGTCTGCTAAAACTGATAAGAGTGAAGATTCTGTTAGGACAGTGAAGTGGACAGAGTCTCAGATGATGGTTCAGGGGAGAGAGTGTCTCAGAATAGTGCTTATCGGGAAAACTGGTTGTGGGAAGAGCGCTACTGGAAACACCATCTTGGGCAAAGAAGGCTTCGAATCTAAAGTCGGTGCAGAATCAGTGACTGTGCACTGCAAAAAAGTGAGAGGAGAGATTGACGGGTGGCCCGTTGCTGTAGTTGACACCCCTGGTCTGTTCGACACCACTCTGTCCAACACTGAAGTCCAAAAGGAGCTTGGAAAATGCATCAGCCTGCTGTCTCCCGGACCTCATGTGTTCTTATTAGTGCTCCAAATTGGGCGCTATACAAAGGAGGAAAAAGATACCGTGGAGTATATCAAGGGGTTCTTTGGCAAGGAGTCAGAGGACTTCATCATGGTCCTATTCACCAGAGGAGATGAACTTGAAGATGAAACCATTGAAGATTATTTACAGAAAGAAAAGGGAGGCTTTGTTAAAAAACTGATAAATGACTGTGGAGGAAGATACCACGTTTTCAATAACAAGGATCAGAAGAATCATGCTCAAGTCAAAGAGCTGCTGAGGAAGGTTGAGGCAATGGTCAAAGAAAATGACGATGGCCACTACACCTCGAAGATGTTCAGCGAAGCAGAGGCAGCCATTGAAAAAGAAAAGGAGAAGATCATGAAGGAGAGGGAACCTGAGATCCTGAGGGAGGAGAGGCACCTTAAAAGAAAACACCAAGACGAACTGCAAGAGAAGAAAGAAAACATGAAGGAGCTGATAGCCAAGTTTGGTCGAGAAATAGAAGAGAGAAAAAAACTGGTCAAAGAAAGAGAAGAGCAAATAAAGAGGGAGCAGGAGGACAGGAAGAGAGAAAGAGAAGAAGAGGAAAGGGAAGAGAAAAGGCGGGAGTCACTCTGGCGACATGAGATGGGAAAAAGAAGTAAAAGTCTTTATGAAAAAATAAATAATGTACCAGAAAAGAAGGCGGAAGTTGAGAAGATGATACTGTTACAAAGCAGAGACCAAATGAGAAAAGAGCGAGGGGCTTGGGAGCAGGAGAGGAAGAAATGGTGGGAGAGACGACGTCAAGAAGAAGAACAAAGACAAGAAGAGGAGGAGTCACGTCTCAAGAAGCTCAGAGAAGAGCACGAAGAGCAGATCAAAAGATACGAAACGCAGAGAAACGAAGAAGAAAGACTGAGAAAAGAACGAGAGGCACAAGATATGAAAGAGGTACAAGAAAGCTTTGAGAAGACACTGCTGGAACTATGGAGGAAAAGCGAAGAGGAGGCTAGAAAGCAGGCTGAAGATCGCAGTACAGTCAAGATTTATGAAAACGTGTTTACCATTGAGGGGATCGAGGACGAAGAGGAAGTTAAGACTCTGAAGCTAAAGAACCAAGAACAAAAGGACATGAACATTAAACAGCTGATCAAGAAAAGAGAGTACAAGAGAGACTATGATCAAATGAAGAAAAGACAAGCACAAGAACTGTATGACTTGAATACCAGATTATTCACGGACGAACTCTACATCGATATCAACGAGCTCAAGAAAATACATGAGAAGGAAATAGAAGACTGGATACAGAAACATGTTGAAAAGCACCCAGATGGCGGGCCTTGTAGCATTTTATGAGATGTGTTAGCAAACACTGTGTCCTAACAGCACGCAAGCGTTAGTGAGACGTTGCATCGCAAACGATCGCATGCTCGCTTTTCATTCTGCAATGTGTGTAGTCAAGACCACTCCAACCGAGACCAAGACGTACCATGAGACCAGAGTGCTCAGAGACTGAGACAAGACCAAGACATGTAGGGATCGAGACCAAGTCAAGACCAAGACTTGTAGGGATCGAGACCAAGTCAAGACCAAGACTAAGGCAGGACGAGACCGAGACAAGACCAAGACTTGAAGGGATTGAGACCGAGACAAGACCAAGACTTGTAGGGATCGAGACCGAGACAAGACCAAGACTTGTAGGGATCGAGACCGAGACAAGACCAAGACTTGTAGGGATCGAGACCGAGACTCACTGCGGTGTGCAGCGGGCGTGTCACTAATTTAGACGCAAACATCCGGTAGGTTGCGGCCGTAACTGGAGGATAAAAATCCAATATCAAATGATTTGAAGTTATTTGTTCTTTTAGTGAGGAGCGTTTTTCTTCTAATCACAGCAATGAAGTGGAAATATAAGCAATCAGTGGTGGTCTTGACCGGTCTTGATTTAAAACCCGGAGTCCGTCACGTCCGAGACCGTGTGAAAATGCTTTTGATTCCGATTTGAGACCTTCAATAAGTGGTCTCGATGACCGGTCTTGACACCTACACCAATTTCAAGTACTACACCATTACCTTATAGAGCCCCCTACTTCCTCGTTGTCTTCAGCGTCAGAAAGGAAAAACAAAACAAGGTGTCAAGATAAAAAAAACGCCTTGTTGCGCTTGTGGGCTGTTAGGACATTCATACAGTAAGAAACTGACTCAAGATGATTTGTCAATTGAGCTGGCTCCCGTCACATGGTCACATGCTGTTCCGACGCAGTGCAACAGTTTCATCTGCAAGTCTCAGAGCTCCCCAAAATATCTCTGTGAAGTGTCTTGTTCTAAATCCACTCTGATCCTGTATTTGGTCATGCCTCTATTTCAGCCCTGCTCAGAACAGGCTGTTTCTGTGTCTGTACCTTTAAATGTAATTGAGCTGTGTCTGACCACGCCCCCTCTCTGGAAGGCCCCGGGTGTCTCTGGTTTTCTCGCTCCATGTCCTATTGTTTACCGTGAGAAGGCAGACTCAGAGGGCAGAACAAACACCTAGCTGTGGGAGTGTCACCCACCTGGGGGAGGGGTTACTGCCCTTTGTGATGTCATGAAGGGAAAATCTCCAAACGGCCTGTTTTCTGCACACATTTTCTGAAAAGTGGAGCAGGAAAAAGACAGAGAGGATGGACTTTTTTTTCATCATTTGTAGACAGACTAGAGACACATATTAGTGTTAGAGAAACATGGTGAAGTTATTTTGTATAATATGTGACCTTGAATTCGTGTGTGTTTGTGTTGAATACAAAATGTTATTTTTCTCTGTGTGTGTTAAATGATATATACTGTACAGATGTCAAAATGTTTAATTTAACCAATGTCTGACATCAAGATAAAAATAAGATCAGTAATGTTTTGTAGTTGAACGTATTAACCTTAATGTCATGCCAATGCTTGGCCCTTCCTGTAAACTCTACCAAAATAAAAGCTGTTCTGGGTAAGAGAGAGAGTCATTATGGAGCTGATACTTTGATGAGTGTTTGATGGAAAATGATGTGACAGGAGTTTTACAAACAGTAAACCGCAGGTGAAGTACATTCAAGAGCAACAACTTAAGGCTTCGTCCTACCTGTACTGTACTACCATCATGTTCTGCTCCCCACAGTGTCTGGCACAGCGGATGTACCTCATCCAGCTGGACTTACTGGGATCATTACCATCAATAAAGTGCTGTAACGTCCCCTCGGCGTCGTAGATCTGGAAAACACAAACACACACTGAGTCAGGGTTTAAAGTATTAAAGTTGCTTCTCCACATATAGTTAAAACAGACTTCTCTATTGAGCAGTAACAGTTTATTATTTTAAATTATGGATGTCTTTATCTCTTTTACTGAACTATTCATAATGTATGTTGTTTGTAAAACTTCTCAAATGCAATTTCATAAATGTCATTGTATTTAAACATTGCTATGTAAACCAGACGTTGGAGATAAAAGCATTAGGCCTCATGAGAAGAGAGGGGAGTAAACTGTAGAGGATGTGCACAGTCTTTTCTGAACTGAAGGAATAATATAATATAGATCCAGATTTAAAGATATATGGTGAATAGATCTGCATCCCTCTCCCTGCAGACAGGTCACAGGTTTGTTTCTAATGATTAATTAATTAATAAATGTGCACAACAACAAAAAACACACTACAAAACAAAACACAATGAGGAAACAAACACGATGGTCAGGCTAAATGTGGCTAGCTGTTAGCCGGTACATCCATTATTGTAAACATTTTGTTAGTTTAATTGAGGTTGTTTCACAGGACACGTTGTATAAACACTCGTGTTGTTGCCACAAATCAACAAGTTGGTCCTGAATGTTTGACGTCCACCAAACTTTATGCTTTGCTGTCGTCGCCATGGTAATGTTTGTTGTTCTTCCTGCTTCAGTCAGCTTGTTTCCTGATTGGCTGTTGTTCCGTTCCACGTGACACTGCTCAGTGTCCGTGCTCGGCCGCCCTCGGTGTTCTCCACCCACAACAGGATTTATGATCATTTCAAATCAGGGCGGCCACGATTGTCTTCCAAGATGGCAAGATCATCTTTGGAACCACCAGATTTATCGGGCCTTTGCCGACTTTTGTCTGAAGGGGGGAATCGGGCCCAAAATCTGCCTGATTATCTTGCAGTGTGTAACCTCGCTTAAGTGAAAATAAGCTCCCGTCTTCTTCTGGTTTTCCTTGACAGCTCACAGTTTAAATCAGAGTATTTTATGACATCAGCGGTAAACAGTCGAACTACAGAAGTGACAAATGAAAGTTTAACTCAAAATATCAGACAGCGTGCCGCTAAAACTTTCAGTTAAACAAAAGATTGTTTTTATTCCCAAAGATAAGTTAATGTAAAGAAGTGTTAAACAGGTAGATTAATGCTCAAAGTCTGTAAAGAAAAACTAAATACACCACTAGAGTTCCATTATTTAGTGATCCTGTTGCTATTCCTGCACTCTCAGATAAAAAGAGAAATAACTCCAGTAGTTTTAAAACAAACAAACCTCGGCAACACATCATCAGCCACACTGAAGCTGTGGTTATTACGATGCCTGCTGGGTGTGTAAAGTTAAACAAACCTGATTTATTCCCACTTAAAAAGCCTCAGCGCTCCGTCTGCAAACGTCTCAAACATGAACACAAGTTTTCAAATCCAAGAATGCAACAGAGTAGGGAAATTAAGATAAAAAAGATGCAAGGAACGTGAAGAACACTAGCAGAAGAAGTGTGCTTCATGTGATGGGAGTAATCTTCAAATCAAGTGTGCCCTCTCTCTCTCCCTGATGTCCGACTCTATCCACTGTCCTGTTGTATGAAGGCAGAAAGCTAAAATTTAAAACTTCAACGTGCAGCGTTCTTACAAAGTGGAGCTTTTCTGAACTAAAAACAGCCAATGCTGAGCATGTGGTCGCACCAAGGACGCTGCCAGTGCAGAAACCAGCCTTAGTGGACACATGTCGTTAAATTCTCTTCCTTATGTTGAGCTTTAAAATGATTATGCCGTCAGTATAAAGTCTGTTACGGTGCTTTCACAATAGGCACGATTGTTTCAGGCCGTGCCCAAGCTCGATTTTCTCCGCCCTCCCCTCTCCCCCGCTGCTCTGTGTTCACATTAAATCGTTCTGTACCCGAGTACCGAGTGTATGTTCACAGTCCGATACAGCAGGGGGCAGTATGCACATCCGTTGGTTTGCAAATCCAACAAGAAGAAGAAAGAAAAAGAAGCAACCATGGCAACCTGAGTCCATTCTGCTTACTGTGTTCATTGTGGTTGTTATTTCTGAGACGCCAACAACGACCCTCTTCCTTCTTTCACATCTACCGTGCAGCTCAGAGGATGAAGCGGCCTGCGCTGCTCGGATACGACCAGGCGCCGTTAGAATGACGTCATAAAGTGGTCCACTTCTTCATCTGAGCACTGTTGCGTTTACATCTCCCGCAGACCGTACTCGAGTAAGTAAGTCAACAAATAAAGAGAGGAATTAAGCACGACAATAATCTGTTGAAATGAGTCGATTGTTTCAGCCTCTCTGTGTGTTCATCATTAATCCATCCCTTCATCCATCAGTGGAGAGGCGGTGTGAACGAGGCAGTGTGTGCCGACTGTTTATAAGGTGATGACCCCGAGAGTCTCTGTGCTGTCCATACCGCCAACAAACAATCAATGCTGTAAACGACTCAGAGACCCAACGGCACCCTTTAATATTCTCTATGTGTGTATGTATATTTAATCTGTCTGTGTGTGTGTGTGTGTGTGTGTGTGTGTGTGTGTGTGTGTGTCTGTGTGTGTGTGTGTGTGTGTGTGTGTGTGTGTGTGTGTGTGTGTGTGTGTCTGTGTGTGTGTGGTGTGTGTGTGTCTGTGTGTCTGTGTGTGTTTCTGTGTGTGTGTGTGTGTGTGTGTGTGTGTGTGTGTGTGTGTGTGTGTCTGTGTGTGTTTCTGTCTGTCTGTGTACGTGTGTGTGTGTGTGTGTCTGTGTGTGTTTCTGTCTGTCTGTGTACGTGTGTGTGTGTGTGTGTGTGTGTGTGTGTGTGTGTGTGTGCGCGCGTGTGTGTGTGAATGTGTGTTTCTGTCTGTCTGTCTGTGTACATGTGTGTGTGTGTGTGTGTCTGTGTACATGTGTGTGTGTGTGTGTGTAGGTGTGTGTGTGTGTCAGTCTGCAGAGTCTCCTGGATCTTCTGAGTCTGTGCATACAAATATACTTTATAGTCGGGGTGGCTGTGGCTCAGTGGTAGAGTCAGACGTCTCTCACCTGGAAGGTCTAGGGTTCAATCCCCAGCTCCTGCAGACACATGACAATGTCTCCTTCAGCAAGACACTTAACCCCGAGATGCTCCCGCTGCTTCCTCAACGGTGTGTGAATGAATTACTGATGGACACTTTACCCAGCAACCTCTGCTCTCGAGACGACTGATTACACCACTGACGCTGAGCTGAAGTTGTATTTCACATCTTTACTAAGAGAAGCACCTGAGTGACTCTCCGCTCCCTGAAGCTCCTGAAGCTGCAGAGAGCCAGAGCCTCTCTCACAGCAGTTGCTTCCTCGCTCGATGCTGTTCTGTCAGAGACGTTTTGTCCGCCTGTGTTTATCCGATCCATCGCTACAAAATTCCATCTGAGAGACAAACGGCCAAATATAACACAACGTTTGGTTCAACAGATCTAAAATGTTACAAACACTTCCAGGCTGGCGGCGTCACTTCACAGCTCCGCCTGTCATTTCTCCAACAATCGTGTCAAAACTTCACTTTGTTTCTGTTTCGGCTTCGGTTTTTTAAAGCTCCATAAATTCTCCTTGTTTGACCCTCAGTGTGTGCGGACTGATGACCCTTTCAGCAGCTCACTGAAGTATATTCACACACACACAGACCACACATCGGACCAGCTGCTGCAGCTGCAGGAGGACGAGACCCAGGCTCAGGGATTTGTTGAAAAAAAACCATCATAATTTCTTCTAGAGTTGAAACTAATAATCATTGTTCTATTATGTAATAATTATTCTGATAGTTCTTGACATTAAGACATGTTTTGTCTTAAAGGTACAATAAGTTGTGTTGCTCCAGAAGATTTCCTCATTTGGCTTCAGTGAAACAGCTTCAATGGCTGCAGCTTAATGGTCGCCTGATCAAAGTACCTTCACTGAAAGTTCACCTTTTTGTCCTTGACAGGCTCCGGTTGTTGTTCTGAGTGTGTGACAACATTACAGAAAGGTAATGTAAGGAGAGAAAGCTTCGTGTTGAAGAGGAAGATGATTTGTTTTTAACAAGAAACAGCTGTAAACATCGCTCTCCTCAAAGCCATCAGACTCTATTGAAAAAGAAAGAAAATGTTTTTACCTCACAGAACAGCTGCTGCCTCAACCCCTTTATTATTTTTTTAATTACACAAACATTGTTTTCGATCCAACTAACCATTAAAACTATTAAAGCCACACAATACCTGCTAAAAACTGCTAAAAAAAACTTTCCTGCATGTGTGAACGCAAACAGCCCAATTTCTTCACTCTGACTTCACACTAAAGCCACACAATACTTGCACAAATCTCTTGAAAAACTCCTGAAGTTTTTCAGTGCGAGTTTCTCCTCCAGCCTCCTCGTATTTATTCTGCAGAAAGTCAGAGTGAGCTGATGTGAGAACGCAGCAGGATATAATCAGGAGAATTCAGCTGGAGCGAGTGGGAGGGGGTGGTGACGTTTATTCCCTGCGATCGCTGCACGACCATAGACTGACTGCACGCGGCCTCTACGATCTCCATGCTCTAATGAACCTGCTGCATTATGTTTCCTGTTCTCCAGGATGTTCTTCTCCACTCTTTAGTTCACATTGAGAGTCTGTTCAACTACACGTAGCATTGACAGAAAGACACAAATTCTCATTATGGCGTCGTATAGACTAGAGGACTCTGTTAACGCTGTTTTTTGCACTGGAAGCGTCCACATTCAATGCAAAACAAAAGTAGCTGTCAGTTGAAAACAGTTGAACTTCTGGAACAATCAACACTTGTCAATGTCACTTCTCCCTCACCGACCAATCAAAATCAAGGAGGGGCTGAACTTCTGATATCAGCTTTGTCAACAACCACGGCGGAGGAGAAACCGATCTGACTCGTCTTTTCAAAAGAACAATTTCCCGGTGCTGCTCATGCAGGACATGACTCCTTTACATCGTTTTTACAAGGAGATGTATTACTGTCACTCTCACCATTAGTGATGTCAC